CGGTCTCGGCCTCGCCCTCTACCTCTCGTGGTTGCTGCTGTTGGGGGCTCGGGTTGTTGATCGGTGGATGAGGAAGCACGTGTTCTTGCCATCTACAAAAGGACAGAGTAGAAATTCGATTAGCATTGAGAAACCAAACCGCACGACAGGAAAGAATAAATGTGAAGTTTTTTTTCCTAACTCTGTAGCCTCTGGAGGATAAATACAGACGTCTTTGTACCGATCCCTCAGACTCTACGAAGCTTTTCCGTGAATTGTGAGACCTATGTAACCTAGAGCTCTGATATCAACTTGTCACGACCCAAATTTCCCACCCTCAGGAGTCGTGATGGCGCCTACTCGTGAAAGCTAGGCAAGCCGCGTAATATAGAATCACTAACCTTTTTATTTAGCCCTTTTAACAATTAAGTTAACAATGAAATAACAGTGAAATAGTAATGATAAATAGATACAAGCGGAATACTTAATCTGATAATTAACCATAAATAGTACGACAATGCCAACATACATCTCTACCCAGAATCCGGTGTTACAATATCATGGACTATCTATGAATACTACATACAAGTGTTTGAAAAGAAAGTAAAATATGTCTCGGAAGCAAATGAAAATAGAATACAGATAAAGATAGAAGAGAATGTCGGGCCTGCGGACGCCTGCAGGACTACCTCGGGATCTCAAACTGGACTGAAGGCAGCCACCCAATGCTACTGTCCAAAAGTTGCCGCTCCAGGATCTGCACATAGTGCAGAGTGTAGTATCAGCACAACCGACCCCATGTGCTGGTAAGTGCCTGGATTAATCCCCGCAAAGTAGTGACGAGGCTAGGACCAGACTACCAAATAAACTTGTGCAGTTATATAATATGCAGCGGACAAATAAAACAGGAATAACAAGTAAAGATGGGAGGGGGTACATGCTGTGGGGAAATATCAGTACCAACAGTAAATTAAGAGAAAAGTATAAGAATAATTTAGAATTTACAGCAAAACAAAAAGGAACTCGTAACCAATCTATAAACACTTCGTATTATCAATTATTGCGTCGCGCAACCCGATCCCAAAATATAATAACTCTGTTGCGGTGTGCAACCCGATCCATATCACTTATTACTGTTGCGATGTACAACCCGATCCAAATATAATATTATTGCGGCACGCAACCCGATCTTAATATAATATTGTTGCGGCGTGCAACCCAATCCAAATATAATATTGTTGCGGCGTGCAACCCGATCCAAATATAATATTGTTGCGGCGCACAACCCGTTCCACACATACAGTTCAACACCAATCACAACACGAGTCCCGGCAATGGATCAATAAAGAAATAATACTATCCCGGCAAGGGATTCGACAGTATAAGTAAATACATCCCGGGAAGGGAAAATCAGTTATAACCAAACTTGTTACAATGTCTAACTACCTCAACTAGAACCAATACTCAATCATAAGTAATTTTCACGAGGATAATCATAATCCTTATTCAACTTAGAGAATTAATAACTTAGGCATTCGTAGGATTTATCAAGAACAAACCAATTTCAATTTAAGACTCACGGTCATGCTTGACACCAACGTATAGATACTCGTCACCATGTCTATATGTCGTACTCAACAAATAACATGTAGCAAATAGGACTCAACTCCTAATCTCTCAAGCTAAGGCTAGACCAAACACTTACCTCGATGACACGAATACAATTCAAGCCTCTACTATCGCTTTACCTCTTGATTCCACCACCAATTCGCTCGTATCTAGCCACAAGTTACTTAATTACGTCAATAAATGCTAAATGAATCAATTCCAATGCATGAAAATAAGTTTTCCAAAGTTTTACCCAAAAAGTCAAAAATCGCCCCCGGGCCCACTTGGTCAAAACCCGAGGTTCGAACCAAAACTCGATTACCCATTCCCCCATGAACCCAAATATATAATTTATTTTGAAATCAGACCTCAAATCGAGGTCCAAATCCCCAATTTTTGAAAAACCTAGGTTCTACCCAAAACACCCAATTTCCCCCATGAAAATCATTGATTTTGAGTTGAAATCATGTGAAAATATGTTAATGATTGAAGAAAACGAGTTTAAATTGACTTACAATCGATTTGGAAGAAGAGTTGTTTTTGAAAAATCGCCCAAGAGTGTTTTGATTTTGAAAGAGTGTGAAAAATGAAATATTTTCGGCTAAGTTATAAAATTGCAGGTTGCAGATATCACAGTTGCGATCAGGGTTCGCAATTGTGAACCCATACTTCTGCTATGTTCGCATTTGCGAAGGGGGTTCTCGCATTTGCGAGTTGGGAAATGTGAACATTGTGTCACATTTGCGATGACTGGCTAAGAGGGGGAAGCATCGCATTTGCGATAGATTTCCTCGCAATTGCGAGGTAGCTGGCCTTGGCCATTGTTCGCATTTGCGACAAAGCCTTCGCATTTGCGAAGCCTGCAGGCCTGCAATGCAACAGCTGAAAGTCTGCAATTCCTCAAGTCCAAAATCCACCCTGTGGCCTATCCAAAACTCACCCGAGCCCTCGGGGCTCCAACCCAAACATGCACACCAAACTAAAAATATCATACGGACTAGCTCGTGCATTCAAATCACTAAAATAACATCAACAACTATGAATTTAACATCAAAATCATGAAATTTCTTAAGAACTTCAAACTTTCCAATTTTCTCAAAAACGATCCGATTCACGTCGTTTCAAGTCCGTTTCTTACTAAATTTCACAGACTTATCTTAAATCACATATAAGACCTGTACTGGGCTCCGAAACCAAAATACGGGCCTAATACCATCAAGTTCTAAACTCATTTCATTTCCAAAACTCAGAAATAATTTCAGAAAATAATTTTCTTTAAAAATTCATTTCTCGGGCTTGGGACCTCGGAATTCGATTCCGGACATACGCCCAAGTCCCAAATTTTCCTACGGACCCTCCGGAACTGTCGAATCACGGGTCCAGGTTCGTTACCCAAAATATTGACCGAAGTCAAATCAATTCATTTTACAGTCAAAATTCATCATTTTTCACAGATTTTCACATAATGGCTTTCCGGATACGCGTCCGGACTGCGGATGCAAATCGAGGTGATGCTGAAAGAGGTTTTAAGGTCTCGGAATGCAGAATTCATTTTAAAACAAGTGATGACCTTTCGGATTATCACAATACTATGGCAAAGTTTTACCTTCTTTTGACTTTGTATTAGGTTGCACACTTTTTGTTTAGCACGTAATTATGAGTAAACAAATATTAATTTCATCTTCAAACAAGTTGAAACTAACGATAGACGGTTTCTTATATATTAGCAATACTTCATGTTGTTTAAATTTATATATATATAACTTAATGTTGTATATAAACTTCATTTTGTCTATGATATATATTATAGTCCACGATGTTATGGGGCCAATATTGGCAAACTGTAGGAGTAGTGAGAGAAGAATCTTCAAACTTTTTATCGTGTAAAAAATAGTGCGTAATATGCTTCTCTTTGCGTAAAGAAAAATGCATGAAAGCTATGGTATGTATTCCCCCAAATCAAAACGGTTTGATGATTGATGAAACCCCACCTTGGACGGTTGGAAATAAAAGAATAAAGGAAGTTTTCATGAGTATCTCATAGTTTTTTTTATTTTTATTTTTGACGGGAACTCAGATTAAACTGAATTTGTGATTTAGAAAGTCCATTATGAAGGTTTTAAGGGTTCCTACCAAAGTGGACTTAATTCGGAAGACTCAAAATTTGAGATATTTAGTTAAGAGTGAAGAAATGTTTATCATTTCATCACATTCATTAATAGTTGGTGTAGTTGGTGGTACGAGTATTTCAGAGATATCTTAAGGTTTTTTTAGTGTCTACTTGCTGGTGCAAATTCTTATAACTTGTTAAAATCTAAGAACCTATTTGACAAGGTCCTAATATTATCAAATAAGATGATTTGGGGAATTTAACAAAGACTTAAAGACCATTTCTTTGGTTGTTATGTTTCGAGTTTTTCAAGAATCTAAAAACTCCAAATAAGCCTACTTGGATCGATTGATACGGGAAATGAATATGGTGTTGTCGATGCTTTTTAGCAATTATTTAATTGAACAAAATAAATGGTCTACATTTATCAAAAGCTAGTGGAATAAAATTATATCGATAAGGAAGTCGCTTTCGAGTTTCGACAAGTCTACAACAATACAATACCAATAGGATATTTTTATTTAAAATGTTAAAGCGAGAAAACTCCATAAATCCTAGATTGATGCCGAACCCAAATGTGTGTTTTGACCTTAGGGATAATTGCAAAGCTTTACCAGAAAGGGAAATGCTTGTAATACATAGGGGTAAATATTTTGAACTAATATTCCTGAGACTTTAAATAGGATGGTACTTTAACTACTTGCTGATACGATAATGATGTCTATCTCTTAAGACATACGAGTAGTAATCTTCTTCTACTTCTTTTTTTTTTTTTAACTATTCAGTATCCCAAAAACAACTAGCTTGACTAATTCATATTTGTGCCTTAGAAAGCACATAAAGGGGTATTAGCGCTTCCTATCAAAAAAGACTTCATTAATATCTTCAATCAAAACTGAAATTACTGTTAAGAGCGGAGTACCTTCTTGGTGATAATCGATTTGGTTAATTAAATTTTTAGTTAAATTGACTAAGATGCTCTTAAAAAATTTCTCTACATTAGAAGTATTTAATAAACATAATCGTTTAGTTAATTAAATTTATGTGACGTAAAACTAAATACTTATGCAGCCAACATTTTAAGGGCCATTAGGGTACTTCATCTTTTACACAATTTAATATCAAGGAACCACCTTAGGAATGTCAAAAAATTGTCGGCTGATGGATTCTATTTTCCTCAAGACTAAAAAACTAAAAACTGTATAAAAATTAAACACTATATATACAAATTCTCAATTAGTTGTCAACGTGTCACGCACACAATCATCAATTTTATCCTCCTTTCTCCTATAAAAACCCCATCCTATATTTCACATTTCATCACAACTACAACAAGAACTTCTTTAGCGATTAAACTTTCTTTTACAACAAATTAAAGATCTCTCATCTCCAACAACAACAAAAAAAAAAACATGTCTTGCTGCGGAGGAAGCTGTGGCTGTGGATCTGGCTGCAAGTGCGGCAGTGGCTGCGGAGGGTAAGTTCTGATTTCATATAATTATTCATATCTAGAGTCGCTAAGTTCAGTACGAGCGTCATCTTGTTGTACATATAAAATTTTACTAGTTTTTTTTTAATATATATACATAAGTTTAAGTAAAAAATATTGGTTCCGACAGAAGTCATTCTGAATCCACGGCTACATCTTGACTATTTTTATTTTCCTTTTCCATTCCACCCACATGCCCAGAAAAAATTAAGAAGATATATATCAATTTTGTAACTAGGGTTTTTAATGTATATATTGTAGATGTGGGATGTACCCAGACTTGGAGAAATCCACTACCCTTACCATCATTCAGGGTGTTGCTCCCATGAAGAGGTACGTCGTCTTCCAATTTTACTTTACTTTTTGGTTTAAACATATATTTACTAAATTCGAAAAAGAATAAAAAAAAATAAAAAAATTGGAAGGGTAATTAAAAAAGATTACTTGAAATGTTGCAGCTTTGAGGAATTTGGAGAGAAAGCAGCAGAAGGAGGAAATGGCTGCAAATGTGGATCAAACTGCACCTGTGACCCTTGCAATTGTTAAGATAACTCTCTTGTGATTCCACAATAATGTGTGTGTTTTCTGTAATAATAAGGAGAAGATTACAGCTAGCCATGGAACTGATTGTCAGTTCTTAGGTTTGTGTGTTCTGATCACTTTTCCTTTTTGTTTCTCAATCTGATATATTTCTGTAACGTGATTTGGGGTGTAATGTAACAGAAACGTGTCATATATCAATTACATATAAGTTTGTTAATTCGTTCCTTTATTGCCTCTGAAATCTCTCATATTTCTTTTGCACCGTATTTTTCATCTGTTAATTTTTTTACTTCAATAATATTAAAGTATAAAGCGAGTTAGTTAATATTGGACACGAAATTGCAAATGCAATTTGAAAGATCAAAACGGAGAAAGTTTGCACTTTTGTTTCAACATTCGATTTGTGGAATTTGCAAATAAATCACGACTCATGCTCCTGTGTCTTCTTTTTAGAGGGGCATAACTTTGACGAATAATAGGCGCGCTATTTTGGTATTGCTGATGTAAAATTACTAGTACTAATGTTTAGTACATGTTCATTCGAGCTGATAGACTAAATTAATAATCAAGTCATTCGAAGTGTTAGTATCAAACCGTAAATAGTTAAGTGATAAGTTTGTTAGCATTATCTTTTAGTCAATTAGTTGTATTAGGACTTTATTTGATTTATTCTTGTAATTATTCTTTTTATATATTGTTGTAACTTTATCTTATAAATATAAGTCTGGAAAGGTGAGCAAGACTCACGCTTTGACGCTTCTCAATTTATCAATTTCATCTTGGTATCAAAAGCCCTAAACGATCCCCTTCAATGGCTCCGGAAAATTATTCTTCCTCTTCTACTCAAACCGCCATGAATAAATCTTCTCTTGGCCTCCCCATCCCCCCTCCAACAGTTTCCAATATCAAAAGTTTTGTTCCTATCGAATTGACATATGTCAATTACCTTGCATGGAAGAGAGTTTTTCTCACAGTCCTTAAAAGTCACAACCTTCTTTCCTTAGTAGATGGAACCATACCATGTCTATCATCAGACCACGCTGATTACAAGCTATGGATTCAATGCAATACTATTGCATTCAGTTGGATTAATGCAATACTTTCTTCTATTATTCTTGATACACTTTTGAACTATGCTTGTGAGACATCTAAACAGGCTTGGGACACCCTCGCATCACTATATTTGGATCAAGTCTCTTCCTCCGCCATTCACCTTAAGTCGAAATTCCAAAATTTCAAGAAAGGTCCCCTTTTTATGGAAGATTATCTTCATCAACTTCACTCTATTGCCTACTCTCTCAGGGCAATTGGTAAACCTCTGACTGATGATGATTTAGTCACTCAAGCTTTGCAAGGATTGCCTTCATCTTATCGTACCTTTGTGTCTGGATTATATGCTACTGGCTCACTTCCTTCTTTCATTGCATTACGACCACTACTTCTCACTGAAGAAGCTCATATTAATGCAAATGCTTCTGAAGAGTCAAATGCTCAAACTGCGTTGCTTGCGTCAACTCAAGCGAAGACCACTTCTAATTCATCTCTTCCTTCAATGGAAATCAGCCTACAAAAGGATACTTTCATGGACGAGGTCGTGGCAAAAATAACAAGGGATAATATGGTAGGGGTAGAGGATACCACAATGCTTCATGGTCTGATTTCCAACATCAATCTCGGCCTCCTTCCCCTGCTACTGGTATTTTGGGTAAACCACCTTTCGTTCCTACTAAACAATGTCAAATTTGTTTTCATTATAATCACACTGCGTTGGAGTGCAGAAACAGGTTCAACCATTCCTTTGTGGCTAACAATATTTCTAAACCATTTGCTGCAATGAATTTGAAGGAGGTTTAACCAACAGTTTGGTACCCAGACTCTGGGGCATTTGCGCACATGACAAATGATCCTTCTACTCTTACTTCTCACACTCCTTATTCTGGTCCTTCTCAAGTCATAATTGGAGATGATACTCTTCTCTCCATTAAATCTACGGGTTCATCTATCCTTCCAACAACTTCTAAGCCTCTTCTCTTAAAGAAAGTTTTATATGTTCTGTCCCTTGCTAAAAATCTGCTTTCTATTCAATGCTTATGTGTTGATAATAATTATCTTATTGAATTTACTAACTCTGATTTTTTTGTCAAGGACTTGAAGACCAGAACATCGTTACTCCACTATAACAATTCTGGGTCTCTTTAACTTCTATGTGTCACTCCATCTGCCTCCTCCATCTTTGGTCTCTTTGCTAAAGTCTTGCCTGCTTCCCTTTGGCACCAAAGTTTGAGACATCCTGGCCGAGAGTCTCTTAGTTCGTTAGTTTCTAGAAATTTAATTCGTACTACTTCTTCCATCAACAATAATTCTTGTAATGTTTGCCATTTAGACAAACAAACTAGAATGTCTTTTCCTTTATCAAGTAGTAATGCAAATTTTTCGTTCGTTTTAATTCATTCAGATGTATGTCATGTCCTACTGTCTCAAATTCGGGATATCGTTATTATATTTTTTTTCCTCGATGATTACACTAAATTCTCTTGGGTCTACTTAATATGCGAAAAATCTGAATCCTTGACAAATTTAAAGAATTTTATGCAATGGTTAAAAACATTTTCCACACCTCTATTTCTTATTTCTAGTGCGATGGAGGTGGGGAATACATTAACAAAAATGTTAGTTCATTCTTTAAACAAAATGGCATTAGTCCATCATTTTTCTTGTCCTTACACTTCTGCTCAAAATGGTAGGGCCGAGCAAAAACATCGACATATTGCGGATGTCCTATGGTGTATTATTTTTCAAGCATCTATGTCTTTTCAATTTTGGGTTGATGCTTGTTTATATGCTGTCTTTCTTATTAATGTTACTCCCCTTCCAGTCCTGCGTTTTAAATCTCCGTTTGAACTACTCTACGGTCGATTATAATTTAATTCGTGTATTTGGGTGCCTATATTATCCCTTTGTGGCATTTAATCATTGTTTTAAGTTTCAACCTCGATCAAAACCTTGCTTATTTCTTTGTTCGTAGGATAAACACAAAGGATTTAAATGTTTGGATCCTTGCTCAAATAAGATTATAATCTCTCGGCATGTTCATTTTGTTGAGGACTCATTCCCGTTTCAGACTCTATTTCATACTACTACTCCAAGTACCTCACCTAATTCTAAATATCTCGTCCACATCACACGTCTTGGTGGAATTTCCCCCCTTCTGTTTCGCAACAACCCATTTCAAATAGGAAAAATCTTCTGTTTCTTTCAACTTTGCAGAGTCCTATTTTAAATGGGAACAGTCATCCTACTTCACCTAATTTGCAGCATTACATTTCAAATAGGAGTCTTCAAACTCCTTTGAATCACGAGAATATTTCCATCCTATCTCCTTCTTCACCCGACACTCCTTCTCCTTCATATTCTCAATCACCTTTAGATCACATAACTTCTACTAATCAACCTATTGCATACACTTCGAGTTGCTCCTCTCTCTCTCTCTCTCCTATTGCACGTGATTCTTCATCTCATGCACATTCTACGCCAACTCTTTCTTCACCCGACAATCTTCAAGTATCTCGCAAACAATCAACAACTATACAACCTCAAACTCATCATATGACTACTTGCTCTAAAACAGGGTCTCTCAAGCCACACATTCTTCCTTCCTTGATGGCTTCTACATGTCCCATTTTATCCGAACCATCCTCCTTTGCTCAAGCTTCTAAAGACACTCGTTGGATGCAAGCAATGAGTTCTGAATTCGATGCTCTCATTCAAATAAAACTTGGACTTTGGTGCCTCCTCCTCCTAATGCAAATATTGTTGGCAACAAATGGGTGTTTCGAATGAAAAGTTTGTGCAAATGGCACTGTCAAAATATTTAAAGCTCGTCTAGTGGCTCAAGGTTTTTCACAGCAGCCTAGAGTGGATTAGTAAAGCCTAGTATAGTGCGTTTGGTCTTATCCTTGGCTCTTCGGTGAAATTGGTTCATGCACCAACTCGATGTGTCAAATGTATTCCTTCATAATGAGTTATCTGAGACTGTTTATATGCATCAACCTAAGGGGTTTGAGCATCCAGATTATCCCCATTATGTCTGCAAATTGTGACGTGCTCTATATGATCTTAAACAATCTCCGAGGGCTTGGTTCCATCGTTCGTTTTCTTCTTGATCTCGATTTTAAGCAATGTGTTTCGGACCAAATCATGTTCATTTTTCACTCCGGGGCTGATTGCATTATTTTTTTAATTTATGCGGATGATATAGCTGTTTTTAGTTCTTCAAAGTCCTTAATATCACAATTTATCTCTTCCATGAGTACATAATTCTTAATGAATGACTTGGGACAACTTCACTACTTTCTTGGCATTGAGTTAAAACATATCTCTTTGGGACTTCTCTTACTGCAGCGTCGTTACATTACTTCAATTCTGCATCGCTTTAAATTGGAAAAGTGTAAACCAGTGTTTGCTCTGCTTCATAGGTAGCTTGACTGGAATTCCACCTCTTCCCCTTTGCTTGAAGATCCTTCTATCTATCGTCAAATGGTTGGAAGTCTACAATACTTGTCCTTTACTAGGCCAGATATTCAATTTGTTGTCAACCTTGCTTCTCAATTCCTTCACCAGTCAAGACAATTGCATTTTCAGGCGATAAAACGGATTTTTCGGTATCTTAGTGGCACCATCGATTGGGGCTTACAGTTGTATAAAAATTCTCCCTTGGCACTTACTATTTTCTCTGACTCGGATTGGGCTGGTTGTTCAGCCACTAGGCGGTCTACAACTGGATTCTGCATTTTTCTTGGCTCCAATCTCATCTCTTGGTCTGCTAAGAAGCAGCCTACTGTTGCACGCTAAAGTACTGAAGCTGAATATCGAGCTCTTGTTGTTGCAATTGCTGAAGCTACTTGACTCCAATATATTCTTCGTGATCTTGGCGTTTTTCTTACTTCTCCAGTCTCCGCAAAATGTGACAATATTGGAGTCATTCATCTAGCTGACAATCCAGTTTTTCATTCCCGTTCCAAACATGTTGCATTGGATTATCATTTTGTTCGTGAAAAGATTAGCCATGGTGATCTGGTGGTCTCTCATGTTCATACCTCTGAGCAACTTGCAGATTTATTCACCAAAGTATTGTCATCTACCCGTTTTCGTGAGCTAACAGCCAATCTTCATGTTCATTCTTTCCGTTCAGATTGAGGGAGGATGTTAGCATTATCTTTTAGTC